TTCGGTCTGTTGACTACAGTCTTTTCATACCCTTAGTATGACGTTAGAAGATGGTGTGTTAAGCAAATATTTACTTCACAAAAAGCCAGCTATTTTCACTATGAGCAAATTCCACCAACTTTTTTTTTTTTTTAGAACTTTATGTACTGTCTCACTTTTTAAAAATAATGTACAATTGTCCCTTTTATAACCAAGAAAAAAAAGCTTTTGTAAAAAAAAAAAGATAAAATTTGTTTTGACCCATTGTTTCAACCTCCCAAGGTCTTTCTGACTCTTGATTCATATAACAACCAAGCTACCCCTTCTAGTTCTGAATCTTTCTCAAGTGTGATAAGCAAGGCTTCTGAGTTTTAATCCAAGTCCCTGATAAAAATATTGAAGGACTCGAGAAGAAAGCATGCATGTCATTTAAGTTACTCTTTGCATAAGAACTTTAACTATTAGATTTTCTCTTTTTACTATCACCTGGTATACATTTCTCCATTTTGTCTCCATCATAAGTAACTTTCTCAACCACTTTATAGAAACCGAGTTAGACTGCTTAAAGGGCTTATCCTATCCATCTACCACCATGGTGATCCTATTAGTTAGTTTGGCATTAGTGAATCCATATGGTTTTTTTGCAGTAAACATTTGTTTAATATACAATGTCAAGCTTCGTGGTCTGTAATGACTAGACTCCACGACACTCTAAAAAGTCAGGATATTCACTTATCACTACTTTTTACGTTAGAATACATTTCCATACATTAGAATGGATCTTGGTTTGAAAATTCACTGGAGTCTCTCTTAGAGATTAAAAATGAACTGTGGATTAAAGAGCTTGGAGCATGGATGTTGGCAGGCATTGAAAGCACTGCTGGGTTACGGGATTGGATAGAGCATATATACCAGCCGAAGGAAGAGGAGAGTGAGGTCATTAAAGTTTAGCATCCCGACAGCGCAATTTATTCTAGCGCCCACAGCTAAGGCACTCATGAAATGTGGACACTCACAGACTATGACCTTGGTGTTCCAGAAAGGTTAAAGTTGAGTTCCAGAGCCTCTTGAACTTCAGTTAAATCTGCAAGGAAAGTAACAGGACTACACTAAGTTCTTCACAACCCTGCCCACCTTTGCCCTAACCCACATTCATTTCTGAACTGACTGAAAGTACTGTGGCACCCTTTCTCAAAGATGTCTCGAAATTACCCACACTCTCAAGAACTAGAAAAAGGGCTAAATTGTATATGCCATGTGCCTGCACTGGAGCAGGGATATCTTCATGCTCTGAATTAAAATAAGCTTGCTTAGGTTTAGAGCAGTGGTCCCCCATCCTGGCTGAACATCAGAATCACTTGAAGAATTTTTTAAAGATAAAAACGTCAGAACCCAGAAGTTTTGATTCAGTAGGTCTGGGATGGGTGATAGGTATCGCTGCTTGTTAATGAGCTCCAGGTGATTTTGACCTGCAACCAGGTTTGAGAATCTCTGATCTAAATCCACATTCTGAACGAGTTAGCAGCTTTCACTGTTCTTATTTCCTGGCTACCTTATCCTTTCCAACCCTGGATCAATCCAACCATCTCCCCTATCTGCTCTGACATTTGTGCTGCTAGAGAAAACCATACAGCATCCCCATGGCTCCCACTACAAATTCACACACTCTAACAGCTAAACCCTCAGCGCTGATGGAAACCCTATGGTTCCCAAGTTCTCAGCCTTTTCCCACAGTGGCCATTTCAGATCTCCCTTTTCCCCTTGTCTTTCCCTCTTAACTACACCTCCCTAACATTTCATTCTCTGTGGGTGACCACACTTCTTATTTCACCGAGGAAATGGAAGGTTTGGGAAGGAACTCCCTAACCTAATTCCCCTCCTCATCCCCTACCTCTACTTGTCTATAAACTTAACAGGACCACCCTTGCCTACCTCCTTTCTGACATGTGTTCTCAGAATTGCATCCCATCATACCTCTTCAGAAGCTGTAATCCATCAATTACTCTTTCTCTCTTTCTCCAGTCTTTTAAATTCTCCTTCTCTATAGGTTCTTCCCAGTTATAATACAACACGCAGGTCTCTCCCATCATTAAATTCAAAAAACATTAACAAAACAAAATGAAAGCACACTCCCCAACCCCACATTGCCTATCTTCTCACATCTTTCATTCTCTTTACTGCCAAGCTCCTTGAAAGAGTTGTTGACATTTGCTG